TGTTACCTTTAGAGGATTAATTTGCATATTATCTTGATCAGATTCTCTCCAAGGCTATAGTATTTTCAGAATTATTATATATATGGTTTGTCTTACCTATCCATATCGTTGTATTGATCGATCATGGTACATATCGGATCATACCAGTAGGGTATGTCAATAGATCGGTACATAGGGCTTTGGTGGATTAGTCTCATATCAAATGTTAAATCGGTATATACTGTTGATATTGGTCTTGTGCCGCTCACATCAAATCTCAAACTCTAATTTTGCATAAAATCTTGGCTTTATTTTTGCGTGTCTATTTTGCATATATCAAATCTCGCTTTCGCTCCCATTTCGATTTGCCTCTGCCTATTTAACTCCCTCTCCAACCCCCTCCCCATCTTCCCCCATCGCCACTTCTCGCTTTCCCCTCTCCTGTCGTCCCCCACTCTCTCGCCTTCTTAACGCGCTCTGACGTCGCCTCAAGCAGCGGCAGAAGAGGCCGACGTTTGCGAGATCGCGGTTCCACTGGTTGGAGTCAGCGCATCTGGAAGCAGATGACCGAGATCGTCTTGTTCCTGGAGTCGCCCCACCACGAACGCCCGCTGCCGCCGCCTCAAGAAGTGGCAGGAGAGACCGACGTTTGCCAGATCGCGGTTCTCCCGGTCGGAGTCCTCGCATCTGGAAGCGGCCGAGGAGATCGCCTTGTCCGTGGAGCCGGCGACGGGGTTCCCGATGATCACGTTCATCGGCTTCGGTAATTCCGATCTCTCAACCGTTTCTTGAATTTTCTTCCTTCCTTGGTTCTTGATCTTGGAATGGGGCTTGTCTGTGATTAGGGCGGGATCACCTTCAGCTGTGTTTCTTTGGAGTGGCACTTCGGACATGCACTTCATTTACGAAGAAGGTAACCCTTTACTTTGCCTGATTAATTCCCATGGAGGGTTGGATCGAACTGTTTCTTTCCTTGATGTCAAGCTGCTATGCTGGTTGATCGGCTTTCTTCCACTGTTTGCTTTCCGTTTGAGATCATGCTCGTTGCAAGTGTCGTTCGAAGTAGCAGCCTTTCTTTGACGGTTTCTCTAATGCAAAAACAACGCTGTCAACCAGTTAAACACTGGAGTGACATTAAAACTAAGATTTGTCACGATATGACATGATAAATAGGATTTTTGTTCGAATGATCGTAAACTTAACTTAAGTGAAAAAAAAGCTTAAATATCAGATCAATATATAATTGAAACTTAATGCTATGATAAATATTTTGAGTCGATGTAGACTATGATATATGATTTTGACTATTAAACGGTTCTTAACAATCTCATGACTTCTGTCAGCTCTTAAACATCGGTTGGAGATCGGAGATTAGTGCAAAACCTAATCAAATTTGCTTGTGATGAAAATAAAAATATAAAGAATATTCATTTTATCTGTGAAGGAGGTCCTCTTATATAATCATAGATGTAGTTTTGGTACACATATTTGTAAATGTATTATTAGAAAAATATTGTGCAAGCCATGAATGGTAGAGGTGTTCAAATTGAACCTAACCAAGATTTCAGTTCGGTTCAATTGAATTGAACTAATTTATTATATATATATATATATATATATATATATAATTATATAAATTATAAACTGATTAATTGAATCGAATTAATCAAATCGATTAAATAAATTTGAATTGATTACGATTCAAACTATCTTATTTTAATCAAATCTAACTGAAAACGGTTTGAACCAGATTTTATTACGTCGACTGACACAACACATGGATATTGTTCGATTGGAGGAGCTCGAGTATATAGATATATTCATCAATCTCTATCAATTATGTAACTATGTAGCCTTATATTATATTATATAGTTTGATATATTAAGATTCCTCACCTTAATAGACAATAGGACCCAAAAAAATGAAAAAGAAAAAAGAGCAAGCCGTTCTTACGTTTCCATGAATTGTCAAACAAGAAACTTTTGTTTTGTTCTCCGTCACCTTGACATCGGAAAATTAAATCTGAGACTCCTTCCTGTGTACTTTGGCTCGTTACTACAGCTTGCATGGCGGGAGAGGCGCGCCGCAGAGCCCCGTGTTTCCTCTGAAGCCCTCCGCCGTCAAGGGAGCCCGATGGCGCGGTATCCGACCGCTGAGCCTGTTATCTGACACATCGAACTCTGTCAGTCGCGCGAGGTCCAGCACGCCCTCAGGTATGCTCCCGGAGAGCCCGTTCCCCGCCATCCCCACCTCCTTCAGCGCCGCCAGCCTCGACATGGACGCCGGTATCCTGCCGCCAAGCTCTGGGTTGTGCGACACCACTAGCCTCTCTACTGTGTCCATCGCGGCCAGCTCCCCCACGTCCTCGTCAAGCCCCCCGGTGAACCGGTTGCGCGACAGATCCAGCGTCTGGTAGTGCCCCAAGGGGTCCTGCGTCCCCTTCGCCAGCACTGCCCGCAGCCGGCCGTACAGCTCGTTGGCGTGCAGGTCCAGGTCCATCAGCAGCGTCAGGTTCTTGAACCCCTCCGGGATCCCCGAATGCAGAGCGTTGTTGGAGAGGTTGAGCAACGAGAGCCCGGTCATGTTGCCGATCCACTGCGGGAGATCCCCCACCAGTCCGTTGCTGGAAAGGTCGAGGATCGAGATGGACGACGCCGACGACAGCCAGTCAGACAGCGGACCAGAGATCCCTGTGTCCGCCAGGACAAGCTTGAATATGTTCATCTGGCCGAGCCAGCTCGGCGGCCTGCCCAAGTGCATCAGGGAGTTGAAGGAGAGATCCAGCTCTTGGAGGTTCCGCAGCCGGGAGAGCTCGGCGGGGATTGGACCACAGAGGCGGTTCCGCGACAGGTCTAACGTCTGCAGATTGGCCAGGTTGGCGAAGCTGGAAGGGATCCTGCCGGTAAATCGGTTGTTGGAGAAGAAGATGTCCGTGAGCGTGGCGAGGCGTCCTATAGCGGCGGGCAGCTGACCGGTGAGCTTGTTGTTCTCCAGTATCAGTCTCTCGATGCTAGGTAGGCCGCCGATCGAATCCGGGATGCTCCCGGTGAGCTGGTTCTCCGACATCCTACAGAACTGCAGCGAGACCATACCGGCGATGGAAGGCGGAATGCTTCCCGTGATGCGGTTCTGGTTCAAGTAGAGAACCACCAGGTTTTCGAGCTTGCCTATGGAGCTGGGGATGCCGCCGGAGATCTTGTTCTCTGAAAGATCAAGAACAGTGAGCCTTCGCAGCAATCCGATCTCCATGGGGATGGAGCCGGTGAGGTGGTTGCCATGGAGGTCTAGTGCCTCCATTGCAGGTACCCGCCCGATGGATGCCGGGATGCCGCCGGTTAGCCTGTTGTTGGAAAGAGAGACCACGGAAAGAA